AGTATGAGGGGCCGTTTAGGACTTAACTAATGAAACACTCTTACGTTTGCTATTGAAATGCTCTCGTGCACACTACTGAGACACTTACACACACACACATACATACTGTGTAAACCTATGCACGTGCATGTATAACACATTACACATACTAGTGTGTATGAATGAAATCTCACCAGCAGACGGAAGCATCTCAGTTACAGCGGAAGACGGAAGCAAAGAGGGCAGATTTTGAACAGCGATAAGCGACAATCTTACGCCCTTCCTTTATATGCTTTTAAGTCTGGACTCGCCCGTCCTTCTGTAGGTCCAACTTTATAAATATACCATGTTTAAGTCACGGAACGTCGTTGTAGGAGTTGTGTGTCGGTGTGTCGGGGCTTGTGTGTTAGTTGTTCTGCAGTCGGTTGGTCAACATTCAGCCTTCGTAACAAGTTGCTCCGAGGATGTGGGAGATGTGAGGTCCAGTTAACGGGACCGTCTGACTCCTCCAGCACCGGGCGGTCAGCTCATCTCACGCCGCAAAGAGCAGCCTGTTCTCAGCCAGACGTCTGTGAAACGCTCCGCTTGTATTACGGTGACCAGAACCGTCCGGATTTTCAATGCCCTGTATTTACGTTCACTAGTGAGATCTGTGTGTATATTACACAGCAGTGTGTGTGTACGCGTGTGTGTTCTCATATGAAGGTGTTGAGTCGTCTTGAGTGAAGGTATCAAAATAAAGAAAGTTGTATAGAAACCTTGAGCGTGTCCACAGTAGAGGAGAATATTCAGCGCTAAAATAAAGTGAGAAACATCATCAAACTGACAGAAACTATTAACTTCTACATTTAAAAAGTTGTATCTATGAAAACTATGATTTAAACAGAGAAAGTACTCACAGAAAAGCCCCAACGCACCAAACAAGGTGTGTCCCATCCTCACGTCCACGCTGACACTCAGCTTGTGAGAAACGATTCCGCTTTGTGTCAAGTGTTAGGGATTCCTTAACACAAGAGACAGTTTGAAAGATGTGAAACATGCAGAGAAATGTGGAAATGCAGAGACAACAGATGAACATCAGATGTGAGGTTTTCTTTAACTTCTGCTTCTGCTGATGTGGTGCATTCTGGGACGCCTCTTCCATCAAAACTGAACTGCAGCCTGAGACGTGTAAATTAAAGTTTAAAAAAACATTTTTTTTCCGGCTTTTTTAGGGTTGTTTATCTTTTTTGTATTTTGCATTCGAAAAATAAAAACTCTACAGTCCACTATACATTTAGAGAAGGTATAAATCGGCAGAACCTTTAAAACACATCAAAAGAGGAAACAGTTAAGACTCTTTCACAATCCACCTCATTTGCATAAGACGTAAGGGAGAAAATGGAGATGAGAATTTCCACCAACTCTTTAGTTCCTCATCTGCAACAGCAAGTTGAGAGAAATTAGAGAAAACAATTCAGTTTCACTACATGTCTACAAGGTATATATATATATATATATATATATATATATATATATATTAGCCAATGGTACAACATACATCACACAGATAAATAGAAATACAATTATAAACCTTGTGACACTTAGTGCAGGATGATGTCACTACTTGAGGTGACACTTAATAAACTCCAGTGCAAGATGATAAACACATAAACCGCCTTCTTATGAACCTGTATGAACGACCCGTGATCAACAATTCATACATTAACTAATTTAATCATGTTTGTTCTGGTAGTCGTGACATTGACCTATTTTATCAACAGTGTCTTTAATGCGGCCTTTTGGATTTTAGGCTCAAACTCCAACAAACACCTCACAGCTGAATGTTTAACAAAAGAATCGGTTCTTGTGACGCGGATTTAAAAAAGAAAAAGGTGAAAAAAAAAGAAATCTAATTAAACAAAAGGGTGAAATGAAATAAACTTTTGATACTTTGTGCTTTAGAGAAAACTCTGCAGTCAGAGCGTGAGAAGAACCACAAGGCTTCTCAGAATAACCTTTCCTGTTCCCCTTCACACATAAAAAAAGACGTGTTGCTGATGGTTGTGTGGTGTCACATGACCACGTTCACACCAGGACTCATCCGCTTCTACAGAGGTGTGATACTCTGTGATGTAAGATAACATGTTTTATTTCTAACAAGTAGACATTTAATTAAGTTCCATAATCTGCAAAATCAAATAATGTAGAACAAATGCAGCTTAATGACAAACAACAGGGAGGAACAACGACACAACCTCGGTTTAATCATAGATATTATATCTGTCTGTCTGTCTATATATATTTTGCTGTCCTTGGTCCGAAATGGTGGAACGAGCTCTCTGAAGACACCAGGACCGCAGAGAGCCTTCACATCTTCCGCCGCAAACTAAAGACACACCTCACTCATCTATCGCAAATTGTAAATTGGCTTATTTGAGGAAATTGCACTTTTTCTTGTTTCTTGCTCTTCTGAGTTTGTATCTCTATGGTTAAAAGCACTTATTGTTAGTCGCTTTGGATAAAAGCGTCATATATAAAGGCTAGATGTCTTACGCTGGAGTTCAGAACGTCCGCATATGGCGGCCATCTTGGGAGGGGGAGCTCGCTCACCCCATAACATGTGTTGGGTAGTACTTACATGTACTTTAAATAGTAATAACTTGCTCAAATATCAACCGATTTCTAATCGGTTAGGTTAGTTATAACGTCAGAGATGTAGTTATGACACTGCAGACATATGAATAATGTTCTGTTTAATATCATTTTCGTATGAAAACCCATGATTATAATTATTCATAAGTATGCAGTGTCATAAATACATCTCTGTACAGGGTGGGGATTTCAACATGCAGCATTTCTTGATGTATATTTCTAAAGGGAAATCTTGTACCTATTTTAGAACATTGTTCTGTTTTTTAGAACATAATTATTCATATTATGTATGCAGTGTCACAACTACATCTCTGACGTTTATAACAAACCAAACCGTTCAAAATCGGTTTAAAATGTATTACTATTTAATGCACATGTAATTCATTAAAAATTGAGCAAGTTATGGTTATTTAAAAAGTACATGTATTACTACCAACACAATGTTATGGGTGAGCGAGCTCTCCCTCCCAAGATGGCCGCCATGTGCGGACGTTCGACCGGCGTTTTGCCGGAAACGCGGACGAAACATGTAGTGGTTTTTTTTTACTATTATGAATTATTATTTTTTTATTTAGAATCCTTTATTAATCCCACATGTGGAATTATTCTCTACATTTTACCCATCCTTAGTGATTAAGGAGCAGTGAGCTGCTGTGAGGCTTCAGGGTCTCAAGGACACTGAGACATGCAAACTATGGAGAGAACCCGGATCGAACCGCACTGTAAAACATCACAGCCCTGTTTAGTTCCACTCACTTCTTCTCTTTACCTCAAAGAGCTCTGACAAGATGTTTTTCAACTTGAAACTTAGTTCAACTTGCAGTAATGCTTTGTGTTGACTTATTCTATTATTAATAAAAGCTCACATGGACTCATAAATGGCGTTGTTTCAATGAAAATTCAGCATGAACCTTTTTGTTACATTTTGTTGGGGACCTCAGGTCGAATGCGTCGTAAAGGAGAGGACCACAAAGGAGCCGCGTACCTTCTTGTTCTCCTCTCTGTAGGCCGCCGTGGCTTTACGTACATGGAGAAGCAGCGTTCACCTTTTCAGCTCCACACATCTGGAACAAAGTCTCAGAAAGCTGCAGGTCTGCTGGGTCCCTCAGCGCCATTAAATCCAAATCAAAGACTTTTCTTTTTGCTGCTGCCTTAAATTTCTGTAAGTCGGAATTCTTAAAGACATTCTTAAATTACATTACATACAATTTTATTCTTTTTCAAATATTTTTTTATCATTTTAATGTCCATTTTTCTTTCATGTTTAACTGTTTATACATCTCCTTGCTTTATGTTTGGACGTTTTTAATGGTTTTATGTGAAGCACTTTGAATTGCCTTGTTGTTGAAATACAAATAAAATTGCCGTGCTGGACCCTCAGCGCTCTCTGCTGGTCAGCTGCAGCTTCACGCTGTGTGTTTCTCCTCCATCCGCCTCTTTAGCGGCTCACGCGTCTCCCTCCTTTTTTTATTTTTAGAGAAGTTGTTGCAGTGATGTAATGGAGCGTAACGGAGTACCTGTGCTCTTCTCTCTCACTGCTTCCGTAAAAAGGTTTCCTCCACACTTGATGATGCCTGTGGTCCTCTCTCCTCTGCAGGATCTGAGACCTCTGGTGGTGGTGGTGGTGAACCGCCGGCGTCTCCAGAGCGACGGTGCGTTTAGGGACCAAATGCGGATGCAGAGGGTTCAGTCTATGAATACTCCAGAGGAGAGCAGATTTATGGGAGTATTTTTTACCTCCAGTGAACCCAATCGTCCTTATTACGCAACGGGAGAGTCAGCCGACGCACCAAGTGTTCATGAATCTGCTCACCTGACAGCTCGTCCACAGCCGGGAAGAGTCTGTGATGGGGGGAAAGGTCACGGGGGAACATACAAGGGGGTGGAAGCTGTGCAGAGGGCGGCTGTGGCAAGATTGAGATGGACTGAATAATGTCTGAGATGCTCGTTACTCTAAAACAGACCCCTAAAAATAAGGGGGGGAAAGTGTCTCATTTTTAAGTTCACGCTGTTTCTTCTGTTTGCCGCCCTGAGACGTCTTGGAGGAAGGAAACTTTCCAAAGTGTCAAATGCTGCACGTTCAATCATCTCCTTAACGTTGGAAGATTTCTTGTCAATTATAATTTGATAACGTAAATATAGTAAATTCCTTTGCAGACGCTAGTTACAGATTAAACTGTGATGTGCCTGTGCATTCACTGAGGGTTCTGTGGTGGCAACAGTTACCATGGGAATCTGCCCCCCACCCGCCCATCCGCCCCCTACCTAAAGAAAGCTGATATGTTGCGTTTAAGGTCACGTGTCAGAGCGCTCAAAATGCAGGATCACCAGACTGTGACAATGAAAGAACCAGATACTGTCAGAAGAACAAATCCACTCAGGAAAGATTCCAACTTCTAAACCACTTAAAACGTTTTATTACAGATAAGAAAGTTAAAACCAAAGTAACGAGTTCTTGTGGGCAAATCTTGATTGCGGTCTTGTCATATTCCGAGTGTCCCGTGGTTCTCCCACAGCCAGGCGTGATATTTGTTCAACATGTGATCTTCCGGTTTCACCTTTTGATGAAAAACGAAAAAGCGTTCAAATGTCGCGTGACGTGTCGTTCGTGGACGTCACAAAACGCAATGCAGACCCCCCCCCCCAAAGGGACTCGCCTCTCTCCACTCCTCCACGCAGAAGATCCTGTACGAGTCGCTGCCGTACTTCCCGATGCCGTGCAGCTCGACGGGGCGGCGCCACGGTTTGGTCACGTATTCGTCTGCGCGGGGAGGAAAAGCACTTTTTCTGGCCGACGCCGTCGCTTCTTATCAGACCAAACCTGCAGCGGCAGCACGTTGAATGTGTCGCCCGAAAAACCAGCACACTCACCTGAGAAGCGTACGAGTGTTTTGGCCCTCAGCTCGTTCAGGCCGAGCGGCTTCATGAGGTCACAGAGGGGCCTCCAGTCGGCCCGCCGGGTCGCCTCTGCAGACGGGTAACGCTCAAAGAACTGCCACAGCACTGGTATGGCCATCTTGCCTGTGTCGTTGAAGGAATAAAAGCCAGAATTCAGGGACGTTTGGTACAACACTGTGTGTGTGTGTGTGTGTGTGTGTGTGTGTGTGTGTTGGATCTAACTGACCACTGGTCTTGTTGAGAAAAATGGTGGCCACGAGGAGCCTCCAGGGGTCGTGGAAGAGGGTCTCCTGCACGAGGTTGTAGGGCGAGCGGGGGGGCGTCCACTTCCTGAAGGCCTTCCTCCTGGGGGGGCCGGGGCCTGTGTGCAGACGGGGTGCACGTCTCCTTAATGCAGAGGTGCGTTTGATGTCTCTGCTTCGTGTGGGAGAGGACACGTTCTAACGGTACCTTCTCTGAAGGGCTTCCTGCTGAAGTAGGGGCTGGTTTTCCGTTGGTCATCTTTGGACTCTGATCAGACAGGAAACATTTATTTATATTCATATATTTTCATGGAGAAGATTACGTGATCACAGACGAGGCAGGACAGCACACGCACCCCCCGAGCATTTCATTTAATGTTGTCAACAATGTTATGCACACACGTAAATCTAGTAGATAATGAATGCTCTGCGGGACTCACAACACACAGAGCCTTTGTTTTTGTTAAAAGAAAGAAAGAAAGTAAATGATAAAGAAATGACCACGTAGCAGAATTATAAATGAGGTGCTCTGAACTTTTATTACAGATAAAAAAAGAGTGGACTTGATCAGGTTTATTACTTGAAAACTGATCCTGCTTTAAATTATGGGACCTGAAATGGAGCAAATCTCACATATTGTGTAATAAGTTCCATTTCTTCTTGCATCCCCCTTTATCCAACAAACCCCCCCTCACACTCCCTGTGAGTACAAAGACATTTGGTTAAAGAAAAACTGACCTGTTGACATCATAGTTATTACTTTTACACGAGGTGTGAGACAGCGATGATCGTACTCACTACTCCTCGGTGTGCGGCTCCCCTCCTCGCCCCGATGACCTCCGACCTCCGGCTCAGGATCGGTCTCTCTTCCTCGCCCGTCCTCGTCGTCGGCAGCAGGTTCAACCCTCATCGTCGGGACGCAGGGCCTCGAGTCGGCCTCCTCGTCCCGGTGAGCTTCAGGAGGGTTTCGTCGCCCACCGCAGGGGGCCGGTCCGTGCAGCTTCGCCCTCGGCCGACCGGCCCCCCGAGGAGTCTCCCCCGGTCCCACTCCCTCCTCCTCCTGCGCGGTGGACGGAGCGGCTCGTGTGCAGCTCTCGGCTTCTCCGTCTTCAGCATCCCTCCTGGCGAAGGAGGCGGGTCTCTCGGGTTCATTCGGAGGACGCGGCTCCTCTGTTGTCCCCTGTTGTCCATTCGCGTGTCTTTTCTGTCTCCCCCCGCGTTTCCCTCTGGCGGCGAGCACCTGTGACGGGGTGACCACGTCGTCCTTGGACGCGGTGAAATCAAAGAGTTTGATGTCTACGCTCCCTTCTCCGTCCTTGAGGAGGAAGGCGAGCAGAGACGCTCTGGAGCGGAACCTCTGTCCTCGGGGACTTTGCACGACAGAGAGAGAGAGAGAGAAAAAAATCAGTTGGACGCTCATCTAACAAAGCACTTGAGTCCCGGTTAAACAATGAGTCACCTTGTAATGCAGATGTCCACTTTGCCCGCTGTCTTTCCTGCTTTCCGCTGCCGGACCTCTCTGCTCCAGCCGAAGGGCAGCGTGGAAGCTCGCCGCGAGTCGTCACATCTGGGACTTTGGTTGTCGTTGCTGGTTTCCAGTCGGGTATCACAGCCGGTGCGTCCTTTTCCTCCCAGATCAGCAGCCATTGCTGGATCTTTACCTGAAATGATCATTCACACTGTGGCTGCAATGGACACTTGGAGGACATCCGTCGTTAATGCAGCTTAATATAACGTATGCAAGCATCTAAACATCGTGGATCCAACGTAACAGCAGATGTTGAGTTTGAGTGCGTCATTCGCTCTCCGTGTTTCGGATGAGTTCTGAGACGTCAACACGGACTCGCCTCCACACCCGGAAGTAGCGAGCGAGTCCGAGTCTGCGCAGTGAGAACGAATCGTGAAGACGGAGCTTAGCTTGAAAAACCGACGAGCTAAAACAACCTGTTGATACGACCCCCGCCCCCCCTCCGTACGGTTTGTTGTTAAAATAAAGGGAAGGAGGTAGAGATGAGAGCCGTTCTAGCGTGGAAAGAAACCATTCGGGACCAATGGTGAGAGTCTGGACGTTCGGGTTGCGTCTGTCATGCCGCGATGTAACGCTAGGTGGTTAGCAACGGCGGTTGCTATGTAAACTATGTAAAGACAGCCGGCTAAGGCTAGCTAGCATTAGCCCGCAGCAACTCTGTTAGCGTTCACAAATGACAGATAATGTGTCAGGTTTACGATTATTGCATCTTATTTGTCATGGGAAATGTTTTCTCTACCAATAGTGTAGCTTGTCATCTTTGTTTCGGCACAATGCTAAGTTAAAGCTAACGTAAAGCTAGCTTAGCTTAGTTTGTTCTCGTTTATCTCGGATAGGATCTCTGTTGTTTCAGGAGCTAAAGCTCCTATTTTGCCTTCTTCTACTGACATAACGTAACATTTAAAGTGTACTATCATTAGCTTGGATTATAGAACCACATATATCTTAATATTGGCTTTATGAATACATTCGTATCGGGCTGTAACTGTAATGTATAGTTGGCAGTTGTTGTGGCAGCAATACGGATTAAAGGGTCGTTTGTTGTCATTATCAAATACAGGGCTGCACAACAAAATGCAGAGACGAACATTTTAAAAAAACAAAAACAAAGCGTGTGATTATTCCAGATGCAAATCTCTAGATATTCAGTTCACTATTATTTAATACAAATTAGGGGAGATAATCCTTCATTAGTCCCACAGTGGAGACATTTGCAAATCCTCTATATTGAGAACCTTGAGCCCACGGATATCTGTCATGTTTCCCCAATATCTGACTTCACTGACAGGTTTGTTAATAACTGGAGGAACAAATAACCTCTTTTGCAGCATTTATGATCTTGCATTCAAGCCGGATGGCAGCCAACTCATCATCGCCGCAGGGCTTCGTGTCCTCGTAAGGCTTTTCCACGTTCGTTTGCCCAAGACCGATATATACATCCTTTCCTATTATATTATTTAATGTGTGATATTTTGGTTGCAGGTTTATGACGTAGCCGATGGAACTATTATCCAGCCTTTAAAAGGACACAAAGACACCGTGTACTGTGTGGCCTACGCTAAAGATGGTACTCGAGGGGCTTTTCATTTGTACACTACATTTGACTTTATAAGTCTTTATTTGTTATCTTACTAACTCCATTCTTCTACAGGTAAAAGGTTTGCCTCGGGGTCTGCTGACAAAAGCATCATCATCTGGACTTCTAAACTGGAGGGTATTTTGAGATACACGTGAGTGTTACCTTTTACTCGTCACTCTATATTCACATAGCTGTATTTCTTGTTGCCCCAGTGGGCTTTACTGTCTCATCACATCCTCTGTGCCCAGGACCCTCACGCTGGTACAAGACAAGCTAAAACTATATCGATATCCCTTTACAGGATGGCAAGAGTGCAATGGATCGATATTCATGTGTACAGAATTAACAGAATATAAATGCAACCTATCTATTTTGTACTATTTCTTCCCATCTTTTCATTTGTTCATGTGTAGTCACAATGACTCCATCCAGTGTGTTGCCTACAACCCTGTCACTCACCAACTAGCCTCCTGTTCTTCTGGGGACTTTGGTAAGTGCACCATGAGTCCACACTGCACTTAAATATCTTGTTCATAATGTACTATAAACATTAATATTTGAGTATATTCTTACTTTCTTAGGTCTTTGGTCACCGGAGCAAAAATCCGTGAACAAACACAAAGTGAGCAGCAAAATAACATGTTGTGGGTGAGTGAGCTTTGCACTTGTAACTGTCTACACATGTAATTTGCTTTAACGCGACACATTTATGCTGAAGGATTTCGTTTGATTGAAGGTGGACAAAC